GGCGTGGGACCCCCCGGGGCTCACCGCCCACCAAACCACCCCAACCCAACCCAAAGGCCCCGAGTTGCCCTCCATTTCCAGTGGGGGGGTGCGTCGGGGAACATGGCAAAGACACATCTGAAGCCCGTGCCCCCCCCCCGCCCTAAATTCGGGTCTCCGGGTTGGGCTGGGGTGGTCTGGTCTTAAGTCGGGCCTGTCCCTCTACAGGGGGGAACATTCAAAAATAGTCAAAAAATAGCCTGGGGATTATTTCTTGAATACTTTTGGCCATCCTTTGAGCATTTTTCTATTTTTTCCTTGTTCGTCCAAAATCCCCCTGTAGGGGGACAGGCACGACTGAAGTCTGGTAGGCAGTCAGGGGCCAGCGGCGCTTCATCCTGAGCCGTCGGTTGGCGGCCCCGCGGGGCCAGGGAGCGGCCCCCAGCAGAGGCCCAGCTAACGTCGAAGCGCAGGCGTCGCTGCTTCTCTCTGCGCCGCCCCGGTCTGCGGGTCCCGGCCCGCCGCCGTGCAGAGGTGGCCCGGTCCCACGCCGACGTCGAGGTCCGCGCCGCCGCGATGGAGCTCGTGCTGCAGGTCGTGGGCGGTCCTAAGACTCGACCTCCCCGTCCAGCGCGGCAGGGGGGAGGAGGCGGGGGGGCGAGAGCGAGGGAGGATCGAGGTGGGGGCGGGAAGAGCCCGGGCTTCGGGCGGATTGAGGTGGTCAGTCCCGGCGTCTCTCGAGATGTCGAGCTCCAGGGGGCGCTTTCTGACCCCATGATCATCTGTCGCCGCGCCGTTTGTTTCGACGCGCGGCCTTACGCCTTCTGGAGGCCGCCTCGGCCACCAGGGCAAACGCCGCCTCGGGCGTGGAGGCTTTCCCATGGGGTTTGCCGCGGCGCTGGCCTCGTCTAGGTGGGGCGCGGGGCGCAGGGTTTGCCGTGGATTTGCCGTATTGTCGACGCCGTCCATTTGGGCGCGTCGAGAACGAACGGCGCGGCGACAAATGCACATAGTTGTGTATGTATGTGTATCTACACATAAACACACAGATGTGCACACATACACCAGGTTGCCATGGCGCTTCGCGCCATGTACCTTGACCCTTCAAGTTTCGCAGGCAGGCGGAATGAGGAAGAGAGAGAGAGAGAGAGGAGAGCGATAGACAGAAAGAGATAGAGAGAAGCCATACTAAAAACAATAGTTATATCTTTTTGTTGCAGTTGTCGTTCTCGTTGTTATCCTCATGTCATTACGAATCCCTTGCATCACATGTCTTAGTTCTATTATTATCACTGGGAGCTTGTTGTCTCGTGTTGCAGCCATCTTGGGGCCATGTGGGAGCCGTCCTCGGGCTCTCCTGTCCATCGTGAGAGTCGCGGCGAGTCCTCTGGGGCCTCCGCGGCGTCCAGAAGAGCGTGAGAGGCTAACCGGGGAGGCCTGGGGGGCCGTCATAAAGGTGCCCCAGGGCGGGGGGGGGGCGTCCTAAAGGGGTCCTGGAATGTTCGGGGTGGTATCCGTTTTTCCCCATGCAGGACGTATGCGTATATAAGCATTGTCATACAGATCCATCTAAACATACACATTAACATATGCATATACATGGACATAACCATGCATATACATACTCAGGCGCATGCAAGCAGTTCAACTGTATAGAACCATGGTCCGCCTAAGCCTGGTCCCAAGCGCCCTAGGTGAACCCAAAACGGTCCCGGATGGCCCTGCCGCAGCCACGGAGGGCCGCGAAGGCCCCAAGAGACCCCGATGAGATCCCCAAGACGGCCAAGATGGGCAAGGACATCCCAAGATGGCCACAATGCATCCCCAGGCCGAATGCTCTCCTCTTGGAGTAAAAATATGACAACACCCATGGATCCAATTGGATCCCTTTCTGGGTGTGTAACAGTTTCGTGGGTCCCACGTCTGTGCTGCGCGGATCCAATTCCCCGCGTGTGCAAAACCAATGGATCCATTCACTTTCCTGGAGTAAGTTGGCAATCTTTTCTTAATCTCCTGGGCCCACAGGACATTGGATCCATGGGGCGCTGCACGTGAGGCATCATGCTATTCACGTAGCTGTGGCTCTGCAGACCAAGGCTGTGATTATACGGGGGAAGGGTTCTCCTAGGGTGAAAGGAGGGGAGGAGGTAGGAGGCAAGGGGAGGGGAGAGGAGGAGATATGGCGGACGGAGGTGGGAGGGGGATACAGGAGGACAAATCAGGGAGGAGGGAGGTTGGGATGGAGGAGGGAAGAGGAGAAGGAGGAGGAGGAGGAGGAGGAGGAGGAGGGAAGGAAGGAAGGAAGGAGGGAGGCGGAGGGCGGAGGCAGGAGGGGGGAGAAGGCGGGAGGAGGGACGGCGAGGAGGACGAGCAGGGAGAGGAAGAAGAGGAGGAAGAAGAGGGAGGACTAGGAGGACGAAGACAAGCAAAGTGTTGAGGTCGGAAGCTCGAGCGCCACAGCGGGCCCATCCACCTCCCCTGACCCCTCCAATAGCATGTAGGTGCTCGAGCGCCACAGCGGGCCTGGCCATCACATAAGCTCCTCTCATGACATACGGTTGCTCGAACGCCACAGCGGGCCCGGCCAACTCCCGCATCTCCCCCCATGACATATGGCACGCCCAGGTTCGAAGTGAGCGCAGCATGTGTATATATATATATATATATGTATACAAGACTGCAGTGGCGCTTCGCGCCAATGCAGGCGGAAATGGCAGGAAGGTCCTTGCTGCCTTTTCTGGCATCGCCGTTATAATAATGGTATTCGTTATCCTCCCTCCATGTTTATGTTTCGTCATTCTCGCAATACCCTGGGCATGCTCCCCGTCCTCCTCAGCTCTTTTTGCGGAGGCTTCTCCTTGGAGAACCTCTGGGGGCCTCACCAAAGTTCTCAGGCGTTCTTAAAGCCTTCTGGAGGCCTCCTGGGCGTGTTCTGGGAGCCTCTGGGGCTTCCTCAGGCCAACATGCCTCTAACCGCGGTCTCCCTGAACGCCCTGGTCACGATTTGGAATGCTTCGGAGGGTGTCTTGGGGCCATCTTGGGCCGCCATGGGGCTCTCTTAGGGCCATCTTGGACCCCTGTTGTGCCGTTTGGGGGCTCTCCTAGACTGCCTGGAAGCGCGTTCGGGTGGTTGTGGGGCGGTTTTGGAGCCTCCCAGGCGGCTTCAGACGCCCAGAAGACCGCCGTTGTGCAGCGTCGGGAAGCCGAAAAGAGGAGAACCCCAATTCTTGACGCTTCGCGTATCCCCACCAGCCCATCCTACACCAGGCACTCGAACGAAGAGCGCCGATGATCGGCAGCTGTTCTCCTCCCCTCTTCCTCCTTCTCCTCCGCCTTCTCCTCCTCCTCCTCTCCTCCTCCTCCCCTCCTCCTCCCCTCCTCCTCCTCCTCCTCCTCCTCCTCCTCCTCCTCCTCCTCCTCCGCCTCTTCCTCCTCCCTGGTGGCGTATTGGAAGTGTCTTCGAACGTTTTGGTTGGCTCTTGGGCCTTGCGGGCGGGCGGGCGGCGCTCCGCCCGCCCGCGCGCAGAGCCCAAGAGGGGGTCCGAGACGTCTTTTGGAACAATCTTGGAGGAGATCGATCAACGAAGGGGGGTTCCCTAATTACAGCCCCCCCCCTCAGGAGCCACGATCCTCGTGAGAGGTGTCGAATTTTAGCCTTCCCAGGAGTCGATCTTGGACGCTCTAACTACCCGCGGCCCCCCCTGTCCAGGTCAGTGGGGAGGGGGGAGGGGGAGGGGTAAACCCCTCCCCGAAGGGGAAGAAGGAGGGGTGGAAGAGGAAACGCTCTAAACCACCGACGCCCAGAGGGCTGGTGGGAATTCACCAAAAACCTACGTAAAATCAATGATTTGTCCCTCTTGGGGCCTTCTTGGGGGTGCTCTTGGAGGCCTCTTGGAACGTTTTGGGGCGATCTTTGGGGGTATGACGGCTTCTTGGAGCGCTCTTGTATTGTCTTTGGGGTCTCTGGGACGTCTCCGAGGACCCCCCTGATCGCCCCAGGTGTGCCGCGAAGGCTTGGCAAAACGCCCTGCGAGGCCTGGGGGCCGCTTCGAGGCCCGTTCGGAAGGTCCCAAAGCCCCAGATCTCGTGAGTCTGGTTTCGGGGGGGGGGCGGGTTTTCCCCCCGCCCGGGCTTATAAAAATATAAGAAGAGGAATATATATCACACACACATATACATATATACATATATATAATATATATATATATATATATATTATATATATATATATATATAATATATATAGATATATATATATATATATATATATATATATGCATAACTACATAAATGAATACATACATATTCCTCTTCCTATATCTTTATAGGCCCGGGCGGGGGGACCCCCCCCCAAAAAAAAGAGCGGCCCCCCGGGCCTCGCAGGGCGTTTTGCCAAGCCTTCGCAGCACACCTAGGGCGATCAGGGGGGTCCTCGGAGACGTCCCATACCCCCAAGACAGCACAAGAGCGCTCCAAGAGTGATCGACCTGACCTCAAGATGGCCCAAGAGGCCTCCAGGACGGCCCCAAAGAGGCCTCCAAGAGCACTCCCAAGAAGGCCCCAAGAGGCAAAAATCATTGATTTTCTGGTGGTTGTTGGTGAATTTTGGGGTTCTCCTTTTTTCGGCTTCCCGACGCTCCAAGACGGCGGTTTTCTGGGCGTCTCCAAAATCGCCCCACAACCATTCGAAAGGGCTTCCAGGCAGTCCAAGAGAGCCCCCAAACGGCACAACACAGGTCCAAGATGGCCCTCAAAGAGTCCCATGGCGGCCCAAGATGGCCCCAAGACACCCTCCGAAGCATTCCAAATCGTGACCCGGTCGTTAGGGAGACCGCGGTTGGAGCAGGGTGGCCCGAGGAAGCCCCCAGAGGCCCCCAGAATACCCCCAGGAGGCCTCCAGAAGCCTTTAAGAAAGCCTGAAACAACTTTTGTGAGGCCCCCAGAGGCTCTCCAAGGAGGAGCCTCCGCAAAGAGAGCAGAGGAGGATGGGGAGAATGCGCAGGGTATGGCGAACAGGAGGAAAAGGAAGCGTGGAGGAAGGATATCGACAAAAAACATTATTATAGCGGCGATGCCGGAAAAGGCAACAAGGAGTTGTCGCTAAATTGTCGGCTTGACCTTCCTGCTATTCCGCCTGCATACCAAACTTCAAGGACCAAGGTGCATGGCGCGAAGCGCCACTGCTGCCTTGTGTATATATACATACATACACACATGTATATATATATATATATATGTAAATATGTATATACATCTATATATATATATATATATATCGGAGGCTGGGGGGTGAGATCGCAGTGAAACGGAGACCCCCCCCGGGGAAATCGGTTTCGGTTTCGTGTTCGTGTCGTGCGTGCGGGCGAGGCGAAGCTGCGCGTGATCCTCCTGTAGCTAGGCCGAAGTAGGAGCCAAAGTCCGTCGCCCAGCAGCTGGTGGCCGGGTTGGGCCGGGCGGTGTCCCGGGTGTCCCTCGGTGTCCTGGGCGTTTTCCCGTCCGCCGGTGGCCGGTTGGGCCGGGCGGTGTCCCGGGTGTCCCAGGCGTCCCGGTATCGATATTGAGATCGATGTGGTGCCCCGAGGTGTCCCTCGGTGTCCCGTGGTGTCCCAAAAAGTGAGATCGATAGTAAGATCGATAATGAGATCGACAGGTGTCCCGTGGTGTCCTGTGGTGTCCTATGGTGTCCCGTTGAGTGAGATCGATAGTGAGACCGATAGTGAGATCGATGTGGTGCCCCGAGGTGTCCCGTGGTGTCCCAAAAAGTGGGATCGATAGTGAGATCGACAGGTGTCCCGTGGTGTCCCGTGGTGTCCCGTTGACTGAGATCGATAGTGAGATCGATGGTTACATCGACAGGTGTCACTCGGTGCCCCGTGGTGTCCTAAGGTGTCCCATTGAGTGAGATCGATCGTGAGACCGATAGTGAGACCGATAGTGAGATCGAGAGGTGTCCCGCGGTGTCCCGTGGTGGTCCGTGGTGGCCCGTGGCGTCCCGTGGTGTCCCGTTGAGTGAGACCGATAGTGAGATCGACAGTGGGATCGACAGGTATCCCGTGGTGTCCCGTGGTGTCCCGTCGACTGAGATCGAGAGTGAGATCGATAGTGACATCGATATTAAGATCGATGTGGTGCACCGAGGTATCCCTCGGTGTCCCGTGGTGTCCCGCTGTGTGTGATCGATAGTGGGATCGATGTGGTGTCCCGAGGTGTCCCGTGGTGTCCCGTGGTGTCCCGTTGAGTGAGATCGATAGTGAGACCGATATTGAGATCGAGAAGAGTCCCGCGGTGTCCCGTGGTGGCCCGTGGTGTCCCGTGGTGTCCCGTGGTGTCCCGTTGAGTGAGATCGATAGTGAGATCGATAGTGAGATCGACACGTGTCCCGTGGTGTCTTGGTGTCCCGTTGAGTGAGATCGATAGTGAGATCGATTTAGTCAGATGTTGAATACCCCCCCACAACCTCCTTATCACCCGAAGGGTGGTCGTATAGGTATATATCTCTCTCGGAGGTTGGGGGGTGAGTCCGACGTGAAACGGAGACCCCCCCCGGGAAATCGATTTCGGTTTCGGGTTCGTGTCGTGCGTGCCATGCGTGCGTGCGTGCGGGCGAGGCGAAGCTGCGTGGGCGGGCGAGAGGAAATTCTCCTGTGGCTGGGCCGCGGCCGGACCAAATGATTCCCCCCCGGCAACCGGTGGCCCGCGGTGTCCCGCTGGTGTCCCGCTGGTGTCCCGCCTGTGTCCCGCTGGTGCCCCCATGCAAAGCGACATGCAAATCCATAGCACATCCAATCCATGTGCAAATCGAAAGGCGCCGTGGGTATCGACATGCAAATCCATGGCAAATCCATGTGCAAATCGTAAGGCGCCGTGGGTTGCGTATTTAGAAATTCGGCGCCTGCAGCTAGGTTTGTCTGGATGCAAATCGAAATACAGATCGAAAAGCAAATCGACATGCACATCGATCGCGCCGTCCCTCATGTCTGGAGCACGCCTGCTCGATAGTGAAATGACCGCCATCATCATCACGCGTCCTCGCCATCTCGAGGGCCCATCACCAGCATTGTTGTCATCACAACCATCACAACTGCCATCAGTTGGTTCTTGTCCCTCCCCCCAATCCTCCTTATTACCCGAAGGTTGGTCGTATAGGTGTATATATGTATATATATATATATGAACGGCACGGCGCTTCCGACATTTCGGGGCTCGAGAGGAACATCTTCAGGCCTGCGCAAGTATTGCCACAAGACGGCACCACAGGCCCCCAAAACGGCCCAAGGGGAGGCACCCGAGAGGCAAGAATGATTGATTTCCAATCGGTTTTGATTCAATGTTCGCAGTCTTGCCTTTTCGGTCGGCCGAGCCTCCGAGACGGCCCAAGGGGCTTCAAACATCGTCCCAGAATTGGCAAACAGGGCACCCAAGAGGGCCCCGAGAGCTGGCCCAGATGGCCCCAATAGGCCCAAGAGGGCCCCCCAAGGGGCTCCACATAACCAAATGAGCAAGGGAAGAAAACAGGGTCGACTGCGTCGACATCTGGGCGTGAGCTTTCCGCGTAAAGCCCTGCGGAAGCGCCCTCTTCTCCACGCGGTGTGCCACGCGGGCGGCCCTCGTAAGCCGCGGCGACAGGTCGCCATGCTAACATGCGTAAGACCTTTTTCTTGCCGTCGTTCAGATAGGCCGCAAGACCTCCTGCCGCGCGCACCTCCTCGTCGAAACCTCCGCGATACGCGCAGGTGGAGGACGTCGGCGGCCGGGAGGGCACGGCCGTGGCTTTGGCGGGCCTGGAGGACCCCGAGGAGCAGGTGGCCCTCGCCGCGCTGGCGACGCTGTGCCGCCTGTCGCCGAGGGGGACCGAAGGCCGCTGACGCAGACGACGGCGATGACGCCGACTGCTGCGAGGAGGGCGGGTGGGGGGAGGCGGATGGGCCCAGACCTTCCACGTACTGACAGACACCAGAGCGGCGACGTCTGTTCCGTGCTTGGCATCGGGGGCCCTCGCTGAGCCTCGGGACTGTCGTACAAACACAGCCAGGGCTGAAATCGCAGAAACTGGGACAGGGTTCTTGACTTCGGGGGACCCCGTCCCCCGACCCCCGACTTCGTGTGTTTGCGCAACGTCGTCCCCTGGAGGTCTGGATCCCTTCCCCTGGCCTGGGACGGTTTTGTTCGTTCTGAGTTGTTTTTTGACGGTCCCGAGGCCCGTTGAGGGCTCCCCGAGGCCGAGAATAGCGAAAAAATGTCGTCGCTATTTTTTCACACCGCGAGGGGGTCTGGGTATGGGAAAAACAAGACACGACATTTCTGCGGAGTGGAGGGGATCCTGGCGTGCCTTGGCCTTTCTGGGCCCCCTCGGGGGTCCTCGTCTCCGCGCGCCGCGGCCGGATGCCCTTCGAAATCGTAGCCCTCCAGGAGAGGTCGGGGGGATCGATTTGAAGGAGGTCGTCGTTGCCGTCGCCGTCGCATCGTCGTCCTCTTCGGTAGAGGGAAGCAATTCGTGGGCACTCCCCCGCCCGCCGAAACTCAAAGTTGGCGCGCGCGGGGAAGACGGTCGAAGTGCAGCTCCTCCAACCCACCGCCAGCATTGATCATTGTGGGGGGGCATTGACACATGAATGCGGCGTGAGTGTTCGCTAATTTCTGCCGAGGCCTGCACCTCCTCGTCCGGGCCTTCGGCATTCGGGGCCCCCCCGCCGTAGCCACGGCCGGATCCGCTTCTGAAGGCCTGATCAGATGGCGCTCCAAGAAAGGTCCGAGAGTCGACTTTCATGGTGCGAAGGCTGTGGCCAGACCATAGCTTCTGTTCAGGCAGACGCGGAGCCCAAAACCTTCGAGCCAACGGTCGGTGCTGATTCGAGCACTTCATTCCGTAGGATCTATCGGTGCTGGCTCCATGGTGTGTGCTTCGTCGTCCTCCTGCGCTCCTCCTCCTCCTCCTCCTCCTCCTCCTCCTCCTCCTCCTCCTCCTCCTCCTCCTCCTCCTCCTCCTCCTCCTCCTCCTCCTCCTCCTCTTACTCATCCCATGCTGCTTCCGATGTCGTGATTTCTCGCCTGGCAGACCCCCGGGAGGGTCTCGACCCCTTCCCAGGGACAAGCTGTTCGTCCAGAGTCGCTGGTTGACGACCCCAGCGCCCCGTGAAGCACTCCAAAAGCCGAATGGGTAACATAATGAGGTTGTCCGTCGTGATTTCTGGTCGCAGCGAGATGGGGTGCTCTACGGGTCCCTCTTTCTGGCTCAGCAGAGCCCAGCAGCGGGGCAGCACTCCCGAGAGGGGGATGCGGAAGAGAGGGAGCGAGCAGGAGAGGCGAAGCCGGGCCGCTGCGGCCCCCGCTGCGCTTCCGTGGTCTTTGGAGGGGTCCTGGGGCCCCCCCCCCTCTGTGCTCGTGTCTTCGTCGTCGTCCTCGAAATCTCGTGGGCCGTCGCGGGGTGGTCCCCGCGCAGCCGCCCGGCTGCGCCTCGAGCCCCCATCTGAGCTTCTGCGGTCCTATTGGGGAGACCCCTGGGGGGGGGGTCTCAAGAGGCCCCGGGAAGGCGTCCCGAGGCCCGACGGCGACGAGGGAGCGACCGTAGCACCCCCGAGGCCGGGCCCCTCGTGGAGCCCTCTCGCGCAGGAGCCTGCGGCCTTCGGAGAGTTCCGCGAACAAAAACCTCCCGAGGTCCCGGGAAGGGCCCCGGCTCGAAATGAATCCCAGGACCCAGACCACTTCGAGCAATGAAAAAGTCATGAGGGGAGGTTTCTCTACATTTTCGGCCTCTGGGGACCTTTACTGGGCCTCGGGACCGTCAAAAAATGACTCGGGATGACGAACTGGTCCCAGGGAGTAGGTCGAGATCTCGGGGTCGACGTATTGAAAATATCATGACGTCGGGGTCTGGGCGGGAGGCCCGGAATGAATCCCAGGACACCCCCAAGAGCTGCCGACATCCCTTGAAGACACGACGTCACCGACACAAAGAACACAGCAGCAGAACTAACAACCAGCTGCGGCACTTTTCAAGCCGGGTCGCTCTGCGAGCACCCCGCGGCCAGAGTCCGCAGGAAAACGCCTGGTGCGCAAGCAGAACATGCAACGCCAGGACCTCAGGGACAGACCAACCACGAGCGACCAAAGACGTCCGCATGCGTTGTTTAAGTAATCCTTCAGAGAGGATTTCTTCTTGATCGTCAAAAGTCGACATCGTCGGTTCACAATGAATAGAGGCTGTCCGACAGAACAGCCCTGAGGGTTCTCCAGAGGCCTCTGGATGGCACCTGGAAGGCTTGACGACATCTTGAGACGCGAGCCTCGACAGCAGACCGACGACAAGCGACCAACGGCATCTGAGGCCAGGTCCCTGCGGCCCTCTTCGATCCTTCGGGCATTGAGAGAACGCCCAGCTAGACAAGTCGACAGAAACCATCTGCACTGGTTCACCCGACATTATCATTCGAGTGTGCTGGTGCAGTCCCGAGTCGATTTCGCTGAATGACGTGCGGGTCGCCGAATAATCTATATATATATATATATTACATATATATATATATATATATATACAAGACTGCACTGGCGCTTCGCGCCATGCACCTTGGTCCTTGAAGTTTGGTATGCAGGCGGAATAGCAGGAAGGTCAAACCGACAATGTGGGCGTATTCTGGAGGCCTCTGGGGGCTTCCTCGGGCCACCCTGCCTCCAACCGCGGTCTCCCTGAACGACCTGGTCACGATTTGGAATGCTTGGGAGGGTGTCTTGGGGCCATCTTATGCCGCCATGGGGCTCTTTGAGGGCTATCTTGGACCCGTGTTGTGCCGTTTTGGGGCTCTCTTGGACTGCCTGGAAGCCCTTTCGGATGGTTGTGGGGCGATTTTGGAGCCTCCCAGGCGGCTTCGGACGCCCAGAAGACCGCCGTCTTGGAGCGTCGGGAAGCCGACAAGAAGAGAACCCCAAAGTTCACCCAAAACCAACAGAAAATCAATGATTGTTGCCTCTTGGGAGTGCCCTTGGAGGCCTCCTTGGGGCCGTCCTGGAGGCCTTTTGGGCCATCTTGAGGTCACGAGCGCTCTTGTGCTGTCGTGGGGGTCTCTGGGACGTCTCCGAGGACCCCCCTGATCGCCCTAGGTGTGCTGCCAAGGCTTGGCAAAACGCCCTGCGAGGCCCAGGGAGCCGCTTCGAGGCCCGTCCGGAAGGTCCCAAAGCTCAAGATCTCGGGAGTCCGGTTTTGGGGGGGTTCTTATAAAAATATAGAAAGAGGAATGTATGCATACACATGCATACAGACATGTATATATATATATATATATATATATATATGTATATATATACACATACACAAGACTGCCTTGGCGCTTCGCGCCATGCAACTTGGTCCTTGAAGTTTGGTGCACAGGCGGAATGGCAGGAAGGTCAAACAGACCATTTAGCGGTAACTCCTTGTTGCCTGTTCCGGCATCGCCGTGATAATAATGTCATCCGTTATCCGTCCTCCATGTTTCTCCTTCCTCATTCTCGCCCTACCCTGCGAATTCGTCCCCATCCTTCTCAGCTCTTTTTGCGGGGGCTCCTCCTTGGAGAGCCTCTGGGGGCCTCACAGAAGTTCTCAAGGCTTTCTGAAGGCCTTCTGTCGGCCTCCTGGGCGTCTTCTGGGGGCCTCTGGGAGCTTCATCGGGCCACCCTGCCTCCAACCGCGGTCTCCCTAACGACCGGGTCACGATTTGGAATGCTTCGGAGGGTGTTTTGGTGCCTTCTTGGGCCGTCGTGGGGCTTTCTCAGGCCATCTTGGAACCCTGTTGTCCCGTCTTGGTACTCTCTTGGACTGCCTGGAAGCCCTTTCGGATGGTTTTGGCGAGATTTTCGAGCCTCTCTGACGTTCTCGGACGCCCAGGTGACCGAAGCACAGGGCATTCCCAAAATCATGCAAAAACCTGAATTCATGTTTTTGTTAGTTTTGGAAGCCTCTTCGGGGTCTTCCTTGGGTCGTCTTCGAGCGTCTAATGGGTGTCTGGGGCCTCTCGGGGCCCTCGGGGGGGCGTTCGGCCGCCCTCCTGACCGATTTGGGCACGTTGCCTAGGCCCAGCAAAGGCTTCCAGGAGCTCTCTGCAACAGCTGTGGGGCCTCCTGCAGGGGCGTCCAGGAGGTCCCTGGGGCCACGGATCTGGGGGGTTCAGAGGGTCCAGATACGGTGGTTGTTCTCTTTATTCCTTGTGTTGCCGAAACTCAGAAAACTGTCAAAAGAAACAAGAAACCATTGCATAACACGAATTTCTCTGCGCGCCAAGAAGGGGGTCCAGCGCCGATCCAAGGAATCCCCGCGGACCTCCGAACAACTATGGAGATACCATCTTTGGGCCCTCTAGGGAGGATCACCGCTCGACCACCAAAAGCCGACATCAACGACTCGGCGACAAGCAGGAGAGCGACCCTTCGCCAGGGGTTGCCTCTGGTTCGTGCCCACTGGCGTCCCCCGATCGCCGAACATGATGCGGTAGCATTGGCTTGCGCGCCTGGTGTTTGAGCCCCCCGCGCCCCCTCATGCCGCGCACCAACGGCCACTCCTGCCTAAAGTCAAGACTTGTGCCCATGTTTTATGTGTATTTATGTATGTGTGTATGTATGTATGTATGTATGCATGTATGTATGTACGTATGCATGCATGCATGCATGGGTGGGTGGGTGGGTGGATGGATGGATGGATGGATGGATGCATGCATGCATGCATGCATGTATGTGTGTATGTATGTATGTATGTATGTATGTATGTATGTATGTATGTATGCATGCATGCATGGATGTATGTATGTATGTATGTATGCAGTTATGTATGTATGTATGTTTGTATGTATGTATGTGTGTATGTGTGTATGTATGTATGTATGTATGTATGTATGTATGTATGTATGTATGGATGGATGTATGTATGTATGTATGTATGTGTGTATGGATGTGTGTGTATGTATGTATGTATGTAAGTATGTATGTATGTATGTATGTATGTGTGCATGCATGTATGCATATATTTGTGTATGTGTGTATGTATGTATGCATGCATGTATGTATGTATGTATGTATGCATGTGTGCATGTATGTAAGTAAGTACGTACGTTTGTATGTATGTATGTATGCATGCATGCATGTATGTATGTATGTACGTATGTGTGTATGTGTGATTGTAAGTATGTATATATATATATGTATGTATGTTTGTATGCATGTATGTATATATGAATGCATGTACGTACATACGTATGTATGTATGTATGGTTGCATGATTGTATGTATGCATGTATGTGTGTATGTATGTGTGTATGCATGGATGCATGTATGGATGTATGCATGCATGCATGCATGCATGTATGTGTGTATGCACGTATGTATGTATGCATGTATGTATGTATGTATGCATGCATGTATGTATGTATGTATGTATGTATGTATGTATGCATGCATGCATGCATGCATGCATGCATGCATGCATGCATGCATGCATGCATATGTGTATGTATGTATGTATGTATGTATGTATGTATGTATGTATGTATGTATGTATGTATGTATGTATGTATGTGTGTGAAGGTGTGTATGTAAAACAAACAAGCACTGCGGGCTCACAAACGAGCACGGAGGAGAGGAGGAGGAGGAGGGGAGGAGGAGGAGGAGGAGGGAGGAGGAGGAGGGGGAGGAGGAGGAGGAGGAAGAGGAGGTGTTCATGTTTTCAGTACTCGAGGGGGGGTCTGGGCCGACTGCGTGCGGCCGCTCGACCCGCGGCGGCCCGCTGCGGCACCCGCCCGAGGCCCGGCTCCGGCGGCCCTCTCCGAGCTGGCGCAGCGCCCCGCGCGGCCGGCGACCCTCCGTGCCGCCGCGCTGGACGCGCTGGTGGAGCTGGCGCCCGCGGGGGCCGCCGGCGCCGCCGCGGCCGCGGCCGCGGCGCGCCTGCTGGGCGACCGGGACAACGGCGCGCCGAGGGCCACAGACCCACGACAAAGATCGCGACGGGAGGCGTTTCGCTGACTCTTCGGCCTCTGGGGGCCATTCCCGGGCCTCGGGGCCGTCGAAGAAGGAAGGGCTCGGGGCGAAGAGTCGGTCCCCGGGGAACGGGTCGAGACCTCGGGGTGTCGTCGCAATGTGGAAATCATGCCGTCGGGGTTCCAGGGGGGGGGCCGATCAGAGTTGTTTCCCAGATCTTCGACGACTCGTTGCTGTTGTTCCCATCCTGTCGCTGTCCCTCGATCTCGGCCTCGTGGGGTGCCGTGGTCGTGCCCCAGGGCCATGCGGAACGGATCGGGGCGACGGCGCGCCACGGGGCCGATGAGAGCTGCCCTCGGGCCCGGGCCCCCTCCTCGTCGTGGCAGGGGTCACACTCGAAGAGTGCCGTTGGCGCCGTGGTCGTCACCATCGCCGCCACCGCTGCGCGGCCTGCAGGGCGGGCTTGTCTGCGCGGCTCGGTTCGGCGAGCCCGTGCGCTCGTTGATCTCGCGGCCAAGTGAGCCTTGCCAGCAAGGTACGGGTGCGAGGACGGGATGTTGGCACGAGCGTGGGAGGTGGTCACGCGCGCATGTTGCGCGGGTCGTCAGTCGTACTGCGTAGTGTTTTACCCCATGGCTTGCACCACGCACCGTGCACCACATACACCCCCCTGGATTAAAGAGTGGTGGCCGTGGAGGCCGCGCAAGAACTGTTCACTGGTCCCCGTCATGCGGCAGGGCCCGAGGACAATGATAGATTCGATGCCAATGCAGGAGTGTTTGGTGTCTCCATCCTCCCATCTATAATGATATGGCCAAGTGGGGCCTCGCGGGGAAGTGGGATTCCGCCCGCGACTTCCTCAAACAAATGTTCGGGTCGCCGTCCAGGGCGACCGAAAATTCTGCCATGCCACCGGAAAGTGGCAATTTCGTTCGGGACATCCCCCGCACAAAGTTTGTCGCACCCCTGCAAGACGCATCTGAAAGTAATCGACGCGTTTAGATGCGATCGCGCCCTGGTGCAGGCGAGAAGCCCATCGTCTCTCAGATTCTGCAAGGGCGACAAGGTGGATCTGTATGTTAGATGCGCGCCCCCGGCCTGCACGGGAGCGCCGCCGCATCTGAACGCATTTATCCTTCAAGCATCTCAAACAAATCGACCGTATCTGTTTTTTCTCCAGAAACATCTATATATGTATATAGACATACGTATCTACGTTTTCAAAGAATGGCACTGTTGCGCCGTAGCTGTTCGTATCTAATGTTGTCAACGGAGGCTGTTGGCTGTGCTCTCGGAGCGAGCAGGATCTATGATGTAGGTCGAAGCAGGGAACAATGGGATGGGGATAGTGGGAAACCGTAGCGATGAGGAGTGAGGAGATGAGCGACGACAACAAAGACGACGAGGAGTAGGATAGATAACATCGGTGAAGCGAGATTCAGGAGAGAACTGGGAAGGAACAGGGAACACTAGGAGGGGGAGAGCGAAGAGGAGGAGGCGGAGTACGAGGACGAGGAGGATGCGTCATATCGAAAGGGAAGGGGGTGGTGCGGGCAAGGAGAAGAGAAGATGAGCACCGAGGAGTGCGGATGAGGAGGATCCAAGAGGAGTGACGAGTAAGAATGGTCGATCGTGGGTGTGTGCAGAGGACTCGGGGACGATCGCGATGGTGGTAATGGGGATGACGAGGAGGAGCATGAGGGTGACAAATTCGGGGGAGCGCCGAGGAATTCGACGAACATGGGGAGTAAGACGTGGGACTCCTGAGGGCGAACTTGGGAGGAGCACGAGGGAGTAGGAGGAAAAGGAGGAGGATAAATTTGAGGACGAATCAGAAGCGTGAGGGAAGAAAGTGATTCGATGAGGGTGCATAAGGATCATGCTGTGGAGGCATGGGGATGAGCGATTTGGACGATGAGCGCGGACGAGGGGGAAGGTGAGGGCGCGCGTCGAGGAGGCAAGAAGAACGAGGTGGATGGAGTAGGAGGGAGCGCCAGGAGGATAACGCGGAGGACGGGTTGGCAGGACGGGGATGAAGTAGAGCAACGATTTAAGAAAATGGCTTCTCTGCTTCGTCCTCCTCGTCACCGTGATCGTTCGGCTCGCCCGCCGTCCCCCCGTATCCCATCGGCTCGTCATGATTTATTCCTCCTCCTCTTCCTCATCTTTGTCGTCCTGGCTGTCATGTGCATTGTCTTCCCTGTTCGTGGTCATTGAGCTGCCTCGGCATGGCAACGATATGGCGCCGTATAGATTCGAATCCGTGTTTGGTAGACATGTATTCCAGCGATGGGTGCAATATTGAATTGTATCTAAACATGCCTAAACATATCTATTCGTATCGAAAACATACTTCCCGTATCTAAAGCAGTAAGCAAACTAAATAAACGCATTTCTGCTTGAAAATAAATCGACGCGTATTTAAGTTTCTGGAGGAAAGCGTTGTGAAACACATATGTTTCAGGGAAGACTTTCAGATGCCGCGCGGCCCTTCCGAACGCAGCTGCCCTGGGGAAATGAGCAACCAAAATAGATCGTCAGACGTGTATTCCAGGGATTTCATGCCGCCAAGGGGGTTTCATTTTTGCTTGGGACTCGTTGGTCGAGCGTTTCCAGTCTCCCGTAAGCCACCGATCGCAACTGGTGGGTCCAGAGGGTTATTACAATATCAGGCACGATGGCGGCGAACACTCACAGAAAGCATTCCGCGGCGCGCTGGCGGTGCCCTTTTACACAAAGCACGCCGCGGTGTGTTGGCGGTGAAGCTCGCGGGAAGCACGCCGCGGCGTATTGACGATGAACGTTCAACAAAAAAAGCACGCCGCGGCGTGTTGGCGCAAAAACCGCGTCGATGCGTGCTGGCGGTTCGCCTTCCAGGGCGACCGGAAGTTCTGCCATGCCACCGGACAGCGGTGATTTTGTTTTGGATTCCCCACCGCACACGCACATCCGGTCGCATTTCATGCCGCCAGAAGTTTGCGATTATGCTTGGGACTTCCTGACCACTGAGGTTTTCTGGTCGCTCTTAAGTCGCCGATCGCAAGTTTGGAATCCAGAGGGTTGTAACTTACACCACGCAGCATGCACCACACAGCATGCACCACGTAGCTTACACCACAGCTAGGTACCACACAGCTTGCAGCATACAATTCACATCACACACATTGCACCGCACAACCTGCTTATCGAAGCTTGCACCACGTAGCTTGCATCGCACAGTTTACACCACAGGTAGTGCCCGACGCGGCTTGCCCAACACACACCTCACCTTGCGCCGCAGAGCTTGCGCATCCACAGTGCAACTCATTGTCTGGGCCCCGCGTGGTTACACATTTACAAAAAACGCGTGTGCGCCATTATCTGCCTCTGTATGTATTGTGCCGGTCGGGGTTCGCGACGCCCGATCGGCTTCTGAGGCCTGCCAGGCGTCGCCTGTGCCCCACGGTGGTGGCCACCTGGGGCCGTGTCGAGCCGCCGTGTCGAGCAGCCGGATGCATGCTGGAGGGGCCCAGAAAAGGCCCCCTTATCAAGGGCTCCCACGAGGGCGCGAAGTTATTCGCGCTTCGCGCTTCGCGGTCCTCGTTCCTTCTCCCCCTCCTCCTCGTCCTCCTATTCTCCCTTTGGGAGGGCGGCGCGAGAGCGCGAAGTTATTCGCGCTTCGCGCAGCGCGAAGCGCGAAGTTGGGAGCCCTAGCTTATCCTTGAGAGGGTGTCCACGGGGACGCGCCGAGCACACGGGGCTCCGCGCAGCCTTGCTGACCCAGCCCCCCCCCCATGGATTCAGCAGTGCTCGTCCGGCGGGGGGTGCGGAGGGAGGGAGTTCAGTCGCACGCGTTGGTGAGCCCGCAGGGGGGTCGGTTGCCGGCGAGCCATTGGTTACACCTCCAACGAAGGAGCACTCAGGTTTTCCGGGGTCGGGGGGTGAATTATGCTAAGGAGAGGTTCGTTCCCGCCCACAAACCAACCTTGACCCGCACACTCCCAAATGGACCACCCGCGTACGCTCAGTCAGTCCAGGTGTCCGTGCAGCAGCTCTGAACGTGGTCAAGCGCGTCTCCTCCCGCGGCGACGAGAACGTCGAGAAAGTGTTGGTTGAGTACCTCGGCGGGGGAACTCGGGAGGAGGTGGTGCTTGAGTCGGTGCTTCAGGCACTCGACTCTGTGGCACACCCTGGCAGCATTGGAAGTTGTTCGCAGGCACTCCACGCGTTCCTCGGTGGGGGCGCCGACGGGAGCCTGAAGCTGCTCGCGGAGCAGGTTCTGAGGCGCTTGCAGTGAGCAGCGGCTGTGCACAGCGAAGTCTGTGGACAAAAATTTGGCTCCACTCCTCTGTGCATCGGAGGGCCTCCGCTCCTCCCGATCCGCCACGGCCGACGACGTGACCGAGCGGATCTGCTCTGCCTGGGGGGGGGGGAGGAGAAGGAGACGAGGGGGAAGACGAGGAAGAGAGGAGGAAAAGGAGGAGGAGGAGGAGGAGGAACATGAGAAGGAAGAGCAGGAGGAGGAGCAGGGGAGAGGAAAGGAGATAGGCAGGTCGTAGACGAAAGAGGCCGCCCTCGCCTACCTTCCTCTGCCCTCCTCTCCCTGGGCGGCGGCAGCTGCAGCACCCGCGCCTCGGAGAGCGTGGGCATCGAGGTGGGCTCGCTGCTGACCCCGCGTTGGGGGTCGCGCCGCAATCCCCACGGAGGAAGGGAGGCAGGAGGAGGAGAAGGGAGGGGGCAGGATGACCGCCCAGAACCCCCTGGAAGCACCAGGGCCCCCACATGAGGCCCGCTCGCCCTCCCAGAAGCGTGTTCCTCCTTGTCCTCCTCCTCCTCCTCCTTCTCCTTCTCCTCGTCCTCTGTTTTCCCCACCTGACCGGTTGGGGCCGTTCGATATAACAAATAAACCTCCCGGCCCGACCACCCTGCATATCGCGGCCGCCAGATCATTAGGTCCAACGAGTATCCCCCGAGACGCCCGCCTCGCGCCGACTTGGCCATTCTGCATACCGTGGCCGCCAGATCCCTAGGTCCACCGAGAATCCCCCGAGACGCCCGCCTTGCGCCGACTTGGCCATTCTTCTGCATACCGCGACCGCCAGATCCCCAGGTCCACCGAGTATCCCCCGAGACGCCCGCCTCGCGCCGACGACGAACACGACAGAGCCTGACAGATCTGAGCATATCAAGACATGATAGAGCAGATAACAAGAGAACATCGCATTTTATTATCGATCCTCACATAACGCAGCCTCACTGAGCAGAGCTTGCTATAGCAACACTATAGCACAACAAATCATGCCACGACTGAACAGATCATACAGCACACAGCATAACGTCACACATCATAACATGAAAGCGCAAAACGACGCATGCAATGGCAGAGTTGAGCATACACAACATAGCAGTGCACAACACATCACAAAATAGGATGACATCGCATAGCACAACATACCATGACACCCCATATCACAACACATTAGACCATGCCATACCATACCTTGACAACGCATGTGATGCCAGAGCGCAGCATAACCTGTCGTTACATGTCTGAACATAACATAGCAGATCAGCAAATCATATCATAGCATCTCATAACGTGTCGGAACATAACATTACATAACAGAGCATTGCAACGCATGTTATGGCATGTTCGGTCATGCGTAGAGTAGCATAACACGACCCACCATACCAGACCACAGTTGAGCCTAATGTAGCATTGCCCGAGATATCATAACATATCATACAATAACATCACATACTTGATCACAGCATTGAAGACCATGACATAACATAACATAACATAACACAACATCACATAACCTAGCATTGCATAACATGGCACACCATCTCATGACAGCGCGCGGTATCACACGTTATGACGTCGCAGAGCATGGCATATCATAACATATCATAGCATAACCTGTCATGCTGGAACTGAGCACAACAGAAAGCAGCATCGGGATGTTTACACATGACAGTGCAACGATTGCAACGGATGTACTGCAGCATCATAGAACCTAATTTAATACAGGGAATTCCTTGACATAACAAAACATTGCATAACATACTGAACATAGAACGACGTAAAGTACACAGTATCACACATGACATCCTACTACATAACCTGACAGAACAGATCATGCCCTAACACGGTGCCACAGAGCAGAGCATAGCATGAAATACCAAAGCCTGTTGCGACAGCAGTGAGCATAACAGGGCACGCTTTAACAGAAGACAAGCATCTGTGAATAGGGACATCACAGCATAATACATCGACGTGCGCGAGGGGGTCAGGCTGGCCGGAGCAAACAGGCGCAGCAACATACGATCGGACGACGTATCTATCGTGACAGGCGTCACGGCGTCACGCCGGCCCTTCGAGAACAGAACAGGCACAATAGAGCACCACGTCATAGAACATGCTCAAATCATACAACGAAGGGAGCATTCCGTAACCAGCATAACATAACATAATTGTTGTACGACTGTTACCCTCACGCCAACAGTTCAGATCCTTACTGGGAAAAGTATGGTATGTCATAGCAGAGCATTTCATCATGTACGATGATGAACTGAGTATACCCGAAATAGCATCACAGAGAACAGCAGGAAATAACCGAACTTGACAGAACATACGTATCATGTCACATCGTGGTGCGACAGCAGAGCAGATCGTTCCATAACAAGTCATACAATGACAGAGCTGAGCATGACAGAGCATACTATATCAGAACGGATACACAAGTTTGAAGAGGAACTTCATACCCTAGGCCGTACCATAACATAATCAAACGCGACGTGCGCGCCGAAATCAGCCAGGCCACGGGTACAAACAGGCGCAGCCACGACCGATCGGACGACGTATGTAACGCGACAGACGTCACAGCGTCACGCCGTCCCGTCGACAACATAACAAATAACATTGTAGCATCGCAGAATAGAACCTGATTGGTCATAACATAGTTTAATGTTTTGTGAAATACAGCAACGGCCGATTAAAGGCGCACTGTAGCATCCGCGCCTGGCCATAGGGAAAAAAGGCGCGGCAACGACGGATTAGATGACATATCAAACGCGACAGGCGTGACGACGCCCTGTCGAGAGCAGACCAGGAACAAACATATGCGCATAGAACAGACCAGAACCGAGCACAACGTGATAGAGTAGAATTCAGCATAGATCAGGTACTGGCCGCCTAGCATGCACGACGCACGCGCCACGCCTAGGCAGGCCACATATAACAAACAGGGGCAGCAACGACCGAATAGGAAATATTCCAAACGTGAAAGGCGCCACGACGCCACGACGGCCCGACCACAACAGAGCATAAGAGGACATACTGTCATATACTAATATACTACACCGGGGCAGAAACGAACCGAACATATTCGCCAGCCACCACTTCAGGGCGTCTCACCAAACGCGACATGCGCCCCGTCGTTTGGCTGACCACAGGAGCACACAGGCGCAGCAATGACCGACTCGACGACGCGTCAAACGCGGCAGGCGTCCCGAAGTCACGCCGTTTTCGCCCCGCCTCCTCATCCTTGCCCTTGCCTCCTCCTTCCCCTCCTTTCTCTCCCATCCTTTTGGTCTCCTCTTTCTTGCCCTCCTCCTCCTCCGCCGCCTCCTCCTTCTCCTCCTCCTCCTCCTCCTCCTCCTCCTCTTCCTTTCCCACCTTGCCTTTTTCCTCCCCCTCTTCCCCCTCCTCCTCCTCTCCTTGTGTCCCCCTTCTCCCCGCACCTCCTCCCTCTCTTCTTCCTCACCCTGCCCAGAGCCGTGCCGTGGCACTTTCAACGGCCGACGATGCCCACATTCTCTGACTGTCTTCACTGGTATGCACGCCCTTGCCTCGCCAGCGTGGCGCCGTGTGCATCGGAATGGGGGGCGGGGTCTCCGCTGAAGCGACCTGGACCGCAGCCGTTCGACTTCTCACGGGGTAGACCGGCGCTCGGGCGAGGACACTGTGCCCCCTTGTGGGCGCTTCTGGTCACCACCAGAGCGGGCTCCTGCCCCGAAGATCCCTGGCGAGGAGACATGGCAAGAGAGGAGGGGGGGAACACGCGGTGGGGGGCCTGCCAGCGCAGCGCCCGGCGGGAGCGAGGCACCCTGCGATCCGTCGTCGCGAGAAGTGCTCTGCATCGTCGAGATCCAGGCCCCCCCTCGAGTCATGCAACAACAATCGCGACGGAAGGGTTTTTCTTTATTTTTGACCACTGGGGGCCTGTGCCGGGCCTCGGGGCCGTCAGAAAACGGTTCAGGATGAAAACCGGGTCCTGGGGAATGGGCCGAGACATCGGGGGGTCGAAGTTATGGCAAAATCATGACGTCGGGGGTTTGGAAAGGCACCGACCCGATGGGGTCGGAGGTTCGCGCTGCATCGCCGATGAATCGGCGGTGCGGCTCGATGTGGAGGCCCGTTTTCCCCACGCCGACGTCGCCGATGCATCGCCGTCGCATCGCCGACGCAGCGCCGGTGCATCGGCGATGTATCGGCGGTGCGGCGCATCGCCGACGCAGCGCCGGTGCATCGGCGATGTATCGGCGGTGCGGCGCTATCATCCGACCTCATCTGAGCGACATAGAAATACCCCAGTGCGACCCTACCTAGAAGTTGAAGCCCCTAGGAAAGCAGCATTAGTTGCTATGCTATGCCATGCCATGCTATGCTGCGCTATGTTATGCTATGGTATGCTATGTTATGCTGCGCTATGCTATGTTATGCTAAGCTATGCTATGTCATGCTGCGCTGTGCTATGCTGCGCTATGCTATGCTCTGCTCTGCTATGCTATGCTATGATATGCTGCGCTATGTTATGCTATGCTGGGCGATGCTATGATATGCTGTGCTGCGCTATGCTATGCTGTGCTCTGCTATGCTAAAGCTCAGCGAAGCTAAGATGAAGGTAAGCTAAGCTAAGATAAGCCTGAGCTAAGATGAAGCTAAACTAAGCTAAGATGAAATAAGCTAATATAAGATGAGTTAAGCAACGCCAAGCTAAGGGGACGCAACTGGGGGAACCGCGCGGCGGATGCCGGGGGAACCGCCCGGGGCGTTTAGCACTGCCCGGCCCCTTTAAGCCAAGAGGGTAAGAACCCTTCTAGGGCAGAGCCTAGGTAGGGAAAAAGAGGTTCGTCTGCGCCGACCGCGTAAGCTGCGGCGTAAGGTCGCTGTGTCATCTCGCGTAAGTCCCGTTTTCGGTCGTCGCTCATTTGCTCTTTAGGACCCCATGTGGGAGGCCTCCACGAAGTCAGCAGCGTCAGACCGGTCCCCACATCCCCAGCGGGCCCGTCCGCCCGAGCGTCCCCAGCCTGCCGCTTCTCGAGGTGGGCGGGAACGCCGCGAGGCCCGACTGAGACGACATCTACCATCGCCTAGGGTTAAGGCGGGCAAAACCAAAGATTGTCTGGGGACGATGTTTCTACCATGTTTGGTCATGTCTGCACCTTGGTTGGTCATACTTCACTTGTTTTCCAAATCCGCCTGTAAGAGGACATGCCCGACTAAAGCCTAGGGGGGCAGGTCGGGCAGCGAGGCCAAGGCTTTCACAGTGGGGACGGGGACCGATCTCTAACGATGCTGCGAAACATCACGAGCAGAGCGCTTTTGGCACCATGCTCTTGCGGCACCTCCCGGGCCCCCCGAGCAGTCCGGGGCGGTCTACCCCAACCCTGGGGCTCGGAGCGCCCCAGAGGCGCGGCGCCACGGCGCCGAGTACTCTATGCAGGGGGCCTGCCAAGGCAGGCTGGGACTACCTGAGGGCCCAGGCCCCCGACGTCGTGATTTTTGTTCACAGCGTCGACCCCCAGAGGTCTGGCGACCCCTCCTGGGGACCCGTTTTTTCTCATCCCGAGTTGTTCTTTGACGGCCCCGAGGCCCGGGGAGGGCCCCAGGAGGCCGAAAATTGCGAAACACCTCCCGTCGTGATTTGTGCACACCGCGGGGAGCTCTGGGGGGCCGAGCCCTTGGCACCCAAGCCCCCGCGTCTTGCGCCTCCCCGAGGGGTGCGCGCCACCAGCGGGCGGGGCCGCACGGGGCCCGCCCGAGCTCAGAAGGGCCCGCCTCCGCGCTCCGTGGGGATCCTCCTCGATCATCCTCGCTCCTCCTCCCCCTCCTCCTGCTCCCATCCTCACTCATCGCTCTTCCTCGCACCTCCTCGCACCTCCTCGCTCCATCTCCTCCTCCTCCTCCTCCTCCTCCTCCTCCTCCTCCTCCTCCTCCTCCTCGCACCTCCTCCTCCTCCTCCTCCGCCTCCTCCGCCTCCTCCTCCTCCTCCTCCTACTCCTCCTCCTCCTCCTCCTCCTCCTCCTCCTCCTCCTCTCCTCCTCCTCCTCCTCCTCCTCTCCTCCTCCTCCTCCTCCTCCTCCTCCTCCTCCTCCTCCTCCTCCCTCCTCCTCCTCCTCCTCCTCCTCCTCCTCCTCCTCCTCCTCCTCCTCCTCCTCCTCCTCCTCCTCCTCCTCTCCTCCTCCTCCTCCTCCTCCTCCTCCTCCTCCTCCTCCTCCTCCTCCTCCCCCTCCTCCTGTTGGGCGGGCAGGCGGCACGCAGCACTGCAGCGGCGAGGCCCAGGCCGCCCTGCTGGTGCGGTGGGCGGGCGCCCCGGCGCGCGGCTGGCCGCCGATCGGCGCGCCGCGGCCGATCGAAGCGCAACAACGAAAAAGGCGCAAGCTCGAAGGATGAAACAAAATTCCAGACTCCCTCGAGTCATGAGGAAAGATCCCGGCGGGAGGTTTTTCACAATTTTCGGCCTCTGGGGGTCATTGCCGAGCCTCAGGACCGTCAAAAGACGACCCAGGATGAAAGACCGGTCCCGGGGAATAGGTCGAAACTTCTGGGGGTCGACGTCATGAAAAGTTCATGACGTCGAAGGTTTGGGAAGGTACCCCTACCGCTGCCCTTCCCTTTTTTCCCCCTTTTTGGCCTCCTGGACTGCCCTCGTCGCCACCGCCAGAGTCGTTTCGAAATTCTGGTCAGAAAGCACCCCGGGAGAGGTCCGGGGAGTAACGGATCGGTACCTTTTGGTTTCCCCATGAACCTAATTTTTCGGAGTTCCGCGCGAATCTCTTGGATCGGCGTTGGGACCCCCCTGGCGGCGCCAGTGGCACCGCCGCTGCCCCGCTCCGCCCGCCAGGGAGGGTGGGGGTCCAGCGCCGATCTAGGAAATCCGCGCGGACCTCCGAGAATGCATGTGAATGCCGTGGTTTGCTCCTCTGGCCCATCGTCCCAAGATCGCTGACGATGTGACCTGTTCTGGACCAGGGCTGGACCTAAACGCTGTTTTGCTGGACTTCGACTGTGTTTTGTTTTTCGTTTTGGTAGGGAGGTACAGGAAAACAGGGAGAGCAAAACGAAAAACAAAACGAAAACAAAACGAAAAACAACGTTGAGGTCCAGCCCTGCTTCGGGCCACCAGGCCGTCAGGAGCGGATCCGGGGCACAGAATTAGATGCAGGCACGCGCCGCGAGTGCTTGTGCGGCAGCTGCCAGACTCCTAAGTGCCAGGGCTGCGGGCGGAAGTCCAGGGACGAGAAGTACAGCCACAGGCTTCCCATGGCTCTGACGAACGACACGTTGGGATACACCTCGGACGTCACTGCGCGGTATGTACAGGACTCGATGGCTGGAGGCTGCCATCGCAGCGCCGTGTTACCCCCCAGGGGTCGGGAGTTCTGGGGCTGCGGACTGCAAAACACTCAGGAGGGGAAAAAACACACGGGCACAATTAACCGTCGATTCCCCAGAAAATATGGGGAAATGTGGGAAGTGGGGGGGAAGACAAAAACCCAGAAAATACAGGAAAATATGGGGAATCCTTTTATTTGTGTGTATTTATTTGTGTGTCCTGGGGCCCCTTCAGACACATCGCCCGCGGCGTCCGTCCGCCCGTCGTCTGGCGACTGGCGTCCGGCGTCTGGCCTCGTCGGCGGCGGCGGGAGAGGGAAGAGGAGGAGGAGGAGGAGGAGAGGGAGGTAGGAGGAGGAGGAGGAGGAGGAGGAGGAGGAGGAGGAGGAGGAGGAGGAGGGAGGAGGAGGAGGGAGGAGGAGGAGGAGGAGGAGGAGGAGAGGAGGAGGAGGAGGAGGAGGAGGAGGAGAGGAGGAGGAGGAGGAGGAGGAGGAGGAGGGGGGAGGAGGAGGAGGAGGAGGAGAGAGGAGAGGAGGAGGAGGGGAGGAGGAGGAGGAGAGGGGAGGAGGGAGGAGAGGAGGAGGAGGAGGAGGAGGAGGAGAGGAGGAGGAGGAGGAGGAGAGCGGGGGAGGAGCGAGGAGGAGGAGGAGGAGGAGGAATATGAGGAGGAGGAGGAGGAGGAATGAGGAAGGGAAGCGTGAGCAGCAGGAACATGTGGAAGTAGGAGAGGGGACGAAGGACGAGGAACGGCAAGAGGATCAGCTCTTATGAGGAGGAGGCAGGGAGGCAGGAGGAGGATTGGAGGAGGGAAGAGGACAAGCAAGAGGGGGGTTCAGGAAGGTAGGCAGCGCAGAGGAGAAGGAGTGGGAAGCGGGCTAGGAAGAAGAGGAGGAGTAGGACCAGGGGAAGGAGGAGGAGGAGTAGGAGGAGGAGGAAGAGGAGGAGGAGGAGGAGGAGGAAGAGGAGAAAGGAGGGGAGGGGGACAAGAAGGGGTGGGGGAGAGGAGGAGGAGGGAGGAGGAGGGAGGAGAGGGGAAGAGGAGGAGGGGGGGAGGAGGTGGAGGAGGAGGAGGAGAAGGAGAGGGAGAAGAGGGAGAGGAGGAGAGGGAGGAGGAGTAGAAAGAGAGGAAGGAGGAGGGAGGAGAGGAGGAGAGAGGAGGAGGAGGAGGAGGAGGAGGAGAGGGAGAAGGAGGAGCAGGTCCCACGGGCGCCACCCGCGCCTGCCCGAGTCGGACCCCTCGGGCCGGCTCCCGCGGGAGGCTGGACTAGGACGGAGAGAGGGCGGAGAGGAAGGAGACCCCCCCTTCCTCCAAATTTGTTTGCGTCCCCCCGGAATTTCAAAAGAGCCCGCCTCATCCCCCGAAGGCCCTCCTATCCCCCGAAGCCAACCAGATGCGTCCGGAAACAATCGAAAGCACGTAACCAGGAGCTGCAGCACATCAATCGTAGGAGCAACACGTCAATTTGTAGCACGTCAGTCGTAGGAGCAGCACGTCTATAATATCAGGCGATCGCAAGCATGAATAAGGGCGTGGATTAGCGACGGGTCTCATTTCCATTAGAAATCGCGGATTTCCGCCGCCGAACGAGACGGCACCGGCCGCATTTGGGGGAGGGCACCTCCCCCGATCCATGTTTGCGCGCCTCCGATAATAGGAGCAGCATGTCAATAGTAGGAGCAGCATGTTAAATGAAACCACACAATAACCAGTCTCCATCGATCCCCAAGGAGTTGCAGCACGTCAATATGTGGGCTCTGAATGTATGTATGGCGCTGGAGGAGTACTGTTGGTGTCAACTCTTGCTGTCTGGTATTCATGTTTGTGTTTGGCCCTTGTATGTCTCGTGTGGTGTGTAATGCGAGCTTGATGTATGCGTTCGGTCTCTGCTCCGGGCGTTTGTTGTTGCTGAATGTGCTGGTATGGTGTTAATGGTGCTTGGTGTTTGTCATTGGTGTGTTTTGGTCTGGGTGCTTGCTTTTGGTGACAGTGTTTGATACGGGGTACTGGTGTATGGTAGTGATGTGTTGTGCGTTCTTGGTGTCTGCTCTTGATGTCTGTTATTCCTGCGTGTTGCTTAATGTTTTTGTTGGTGAATGGTATTGCTGTACGTTGTCGGTGTACTTTGTGATGCTCGTACTGGGCGTTTGTTGCTGATGTATGTGTAGTATTTACATATGCTGTGTGTGTGCGTGTGAGGGTGGCTGTGTTGCTTGTGACGTTTATGGATGACTGGTCTTGTCGAGTGCGCATTGCGCATGCCATTTCTTGTATGCTACTGGGGTGCGTGATTGGTGCATGCTGGTGGCGCCTAGTCATGACAAATGTTTCTGATGTCTACAGCTGAAGTTACGGTTGATGCATGTTTCCGATGTATGCTCTAAGTTTACGTTCAGAACGTCTGTTTCGAGTGCCCGTAAGATGTCTGTGAACGGCTTGACGCCTGGACGTTGTGACGCCGTCACGCCTTCCTGGCGGGGTTGGCTATTCGGTGGTTCACTGATGGGGTCCTGAGGGACGGGGCCCTGAGGACGAGGTGCGTCAAGAGATGTAGATTCACCCTGGGATCCGTTTCATATATCCTGATGCCCCCATCCCTCAGGGCCCCATCTTTGAACTGCCGATCTATGCGTTACGCCTGTTGCATACGCTTGTCCACCATGTCGCCACTGGACTCGGGGGTCTCTGGGTCCTGGCGGCCGCGGCATGCAGGGCGAGCGAGGCGGGACGCCCGGTGGTCATCTGGACGCCTAAGGGCCACGCGGAGTATTGCGGCCTGGCAGCCTCGGTATGCGGGGCGGGCGAGACGAGATACCGAGGGATCGCCCAGGTGATCGGGACCTGGCCGAGGAGTGCAGGGCGGGCGACGCGGGAGATCCAGGGATCACCGGGATTATTGTTGCCTGGCGGCTGCGGTACATGGGGTGGGCGAGGCGGGATACTCAGGGATCGGATTGTCGGTCATGGCGACAGCGGCATGCGTGGCGGGCGGGGCGGGGCGGGAATTTTGTTTGTAAGCCCAGCATCGCCAACCTGTCGGGTGGGGACAAATCCCCCTCTGGACTCCTCCTGCTCCTTCTCCTCCTCCTGCTCCTCCTGCTCCTCCTCCTGCTCCTCCTCCTCCTCCTCCTCCTCCTCCTCCTCCTCCTCCACCGTCTCCTTCTCCTCCTCCTCCTGCTGCTCCTCCTCCTCCTCCTCCTCCACCCTCTCCTGCTCCTCCTCCTCCTCGTCCTCCTCCTCCTCCTCCTCCACCACCCTCTCCTGCTCCTCCTCCTCTTCCTCCTCCTCCTCCTCCTCCTCCTCCTCCTGCTCCTCCTCCGCACTTTGTCTCGGATGGCGAACTTCTTGTCAAGGCAACGCCGCTCATACATCCCTCCCTTCCTTCCTCGCGGAGGGGGGATGGAGGAGTTCTGCGGGGTCATCTAGGGGGGTCCTACCCCTCCCTCCGTCCTCGTCCTCCTCCTCCTGTCTCCCCGCCCTCCCAAAGATGGCGTGCTTGAGTCTCGGGCAGGGCCTCGTCTCCGGCGCGTGTCTCGTCCTCGGCGGAAGGTGGAAAAAGGAAGCCGGCGGAAGCAGTGGAGCGGCCCAGCGGCTCCGCGGGCGGAAGGCGGGCGGACGGCAGCGGCTGCAGATTCTGCAGCCGTACTACAACATCCTGGCAGGCCGGTGCGCCTTCTAGCTCTGGATCGTGTGGACCGAGGCCAGAGTCAGCCTGGTTCACGTGCTGAAGGAGCAGCGGAGACATGAGCATGCTCGGGCTTCTGGAGTCGGCCGTAGAGTCACCACGCTGCAGCGGTCGAAGAAGGAAAGCACGCTACGAAACATGATCTTCGGGCGCTCCGCGCGGATTTTTTGGATCCGCGCTGGGCCCCCCCTGGCGGCGCCTTCGGCGCCGCCTCTGGCGCGCTCCGCGCGCCAGGGAGGGGGCCCAGCCCAGATCCAGGAGACCCGCGCGGAGCGCCAGAAGTTTATGTTTATGGCGCTTTTGTCCCCCTGCTTGTGATTATCATTCTTCTCCTTCGTATTAGTATGATTCTTTTTCGTTTTATCATTCATATAAATATTCTTATTCTGTATTATAACTCATCGTAGTGTTCGTTTCATTGGCCTTCTCATTAACATTATGTTATTTAGTAGCGTTCGTGATCGTACTCGCCTTATTGATAGTATTAGCATTATTGTTAGTATTAGAAATGAGAATAATAGTGGTACTGTTGTCATTATTCGTAGTACCGTTATCAGTATGATGTCTGTTCTACTTCTTAGGATTATGCTTATTCTTCTTCTACGTAAGGACCATTCAGGGTTCAGGACGGGGCCCTCCTGTTTCCGAGCCGTGTTCCCAGATCTCTACGGAGTTCCTTCTGGCGCTCCTCGTGGCACGGCAGACAGCGCCATGACTTTAAGAGGTGGGAGGGAGGGGCGAGGAGGAGGAGGAGGAGAAGGAGGAGGAGGAGGGAGGGAGGAGGAGAAGGAGGAGGGAGGGAGGAGGAGAAGGATGAGGAGGGAGGGAGGGAGGGAGGGGGGAGGAGGAGGGGGGAGGGAGGGGGGGAGGGAAGGAGGAGGGTGGGAGGAGAGGAGGAGGAGGAGGAGGAGAGGAGGAGGAGGAGGAGGAGGAGAGGAGGAGGAGGGGGGAGGAGGAGGAGGAGGAGGAGGAGGAGGAGGCGGGAGAAGAGGAGGAGGAGGAGAAGAAGGAGGAGGACGAGGAGGAGGAGAAGGGAGGGGGGTGGAGGTGGGAGGAGGAGGGGTGGAGGAGAGGGAAGGGGATAAGGGAGAAGGGTGGAGAGGAGGATAGGAGGAGGAGGAGGAGGAGGAGGAGGAGGAGGAGGAGGAGGAGGAGGAGGAGGAGGAGGGGAGGGGAGAGGAGGAGGAGGGGGGGGGTAGGGCGAAATGTAGGAGGGAGCAGGGAGGGAGAAAGGACGAGCGGCGCGCGCTCGCGCCATATCTGACACCCCCTCCTGCCCACCCAGTCCCACTGCGGTCAATTCCTCTGCGTCCGCCGACTGGGTTCCAGGGTCCGCGTCTTCGTCGTCTGCGTCTTCGTCTTCGTTGTCTGCGCCGCCACCGCCGTCGTTGTCATCGCTGCCGTCGTTGTCGTCGTTGTCGTCGTCTGCACCGTCGTTATCGTCTCTGTCGTCATCGCCGGCACCGTCGTTTTCGTCCGCCGCGGTCGTTGTCACCGTGGCCGCCGTTCTCGCGATCGCGCCCAGCGTCGCGACCGGCAGCGGCGCGGATCCGAGGTGGGCGCCCGCGCGAAGTGCACGGATCCGCGGGGGGCCGACGCCGGACAGCCGCCCCCCCCAAGTCGCCCCCCCCCCCCCGAGGCCGCCAACCCAAGGACCGTTCCTTGTTGACGAGGGCGCGCGATGAGGCTATCCCAATGCGCCACCCCAAGGACCGTTCCTTGGCTAGGCTGCCATGGCACGCCCGCAGTGGAACGCAGCACGCGTCGCATTCAAGACCTCCATATTCAACACGCGGTGCGGGTTGCTTGAACCGGAAACGGATCCCGAGAGACCTTCCCTGAGCGTTTCCCAACACGCGCGCCCGGAAACTCTCCAGCAGAAACTCTCTCCAGGTCCTTCAGAGATCTGCGACAGGCCTTCCCACGCCCTTCTGGCTCTCCGCTGTCCGGGTTTGGGGACCCCACAGGTATCCTTGTCCTGGTTTCGTCTTACTGCCCGCCCCCCCCGCGATTCCAGCCCCCTGCCCCGAAGCGCGGGGGCCGGCGGCCCCGCTGCCGCTCTGCGGCAGGCCCTGCGGCCGGCCGCGCGAGCGGTGCAGCCACGCGTGCCGGCAGAGCTGTCACGAAGGCCCCGCGGGCGGCCGGGCGGCAATATCGTTGGGAGCCACAGTAAGGGAACGAATAATGATATTAACGTAAAAACTCAGAGGTCCGCGAGGATTTCTCGGATACGCGCTGGGCCCCCCCTGGCGGCGCCTTCGGCGCCGCCACTGGCGCGCTCCGCGCGCCAGGGAGGGGGGTCCAGCGCAGATCCAAGAAATCCGCGCGGAGCGCCACAAGTTTGTGTTTACTGCGCTTTTTCTGCTTCTAGGGCGGCAAGATTGCTAGATGCAAAAAAAAGATCACGACGGAATGGTTTTCGCTATTCTCGACCTCTGGGGGCCCTTACAGGGCCTCGGGGCCGTCAAAAACCGGTTCAGGACGAAAGCGTGTCCCAGGGAATGGGTCGAGGTTTTTGGGGGGTCGATTTTATGACAAAGTCATGATGTCGGGGGTTTTGGAAGGGACCGATTAGATGTGGTCGGAGAATCGCGCCGCATCGCCAATGCATCGGCGATGCGGCTCGATGTGGGGCCCAGCTTTCGCCACGCCGACGTCGCGGATGCATCGCCGGCGTCGCCGATGAATCGCCAATGCATCGACGATGTATCGACGATACAGCGCGAGCCTCCGATCCCATCTACTCGGACCCCATCCAGGAAGCCTTTTCTGGGAGCCAGGGGAGGGGACGTGTTCGAGCTTGCACCCGCCTTGGCCGCTTCCTGGGCCGTTCCCCCCCCCAAGGCAGGCCTGAAGTTGCTCGCCGCTCTCGGAGCTCCCTGGGGGAGGGGCCTTGCCTTCCCTGGCCCTCGCAAGGCGTCCGAAGACGGCCCACCACGAAAGTCGCTGGTCCCGCGGGGGGGGGGGCCCAGGGGGTCCAGGATTAGGTCGGGCGTGTCCTCTTACAGGGGAATTTGGACGAACATAAAAAAGAACCGAAACAATATTCAAACCATATCCCAAAATATTCAAAAAGTCGTCCCCAGACTATTGTTTGACTATTTATGAATATTCCACCTGTAGAGGGACACGCCCGACGTAAGTCCAGGACCCGATCCCCTCAGGATTGTAATGAAGCCGGAGCCGCGGGTCGGACGCACTTTGGGCGGCGGCGAGAGGGGCAATGGCAGATTCAGGAGCGTGCGATTGTGCGCCACCGTACGCAATTATGGCGTGGTGGCACGACTTATTGCACGGGGAAGCAGCTAGATGCATTCGAAAAAGCGGAACACATGCGCCCGCGCGAAATTGTTGCACTCAGCCCGCGGATTGTTGGATTCAGGCACAGCTTATTGCAAGTACTGGTACGCCTCTTCCGAACATCCCATCAGCGCCCACTTCGCTATTCAGGCTCAGTAAGGATCCCGCACAGTCTTTGCGAGGCCCCCTCTCCTCGCTTTGAAGGCGTGGCCCAGGGGCAAAATGCTCCCCAAACGAACAACGAACGACGAAGGCCGCACGTGTTACGCACATTGTTGTGTCGGTCCGAAGCCGTCCCCCCAGTCGAAACGCAACGCCGCGTGGGTAACCACCGTCACCCAGGTGCCTACGCAGAGGTGGTTGCCATGCGGAGAACAATTCGACGGGCGAAGAAACCAGATGTAGTTGTAGGTAATGCAGTTATGGGAATCGTCTTCGGTGGCGCTCCTTATGGCGACACGAGACGTATGAGGGGTGTGCCGATATGGGCGGGGAGCCGCATGTGGCGCTGCCACTGGGGCCTTCGGTGGAGTTTCCTATGGGGCCACGAAACTTGTGTAGGTGTGTGTGTGGTTGTGTGTGTGTGTGGTTGTGTGTGTGTGTTTGTGTGTGAGTGTGCTTGTGCTTGTGTTTGTGTGTGTGTTGTGTGTCTGTGTGTGTTTGTGTGTTTGTGTGTGTGCGTGTGTGTGTGGGTGTGTGTGGTGGGGTGTGTGTGTGTGTGTTTGTGTCTATGTGTGTTTGTGTGTGTTTGTGTTTGCGTGTATGCTTGTGTGTGTGTCTGTGTGTGGTTGTGTGTTCGTGTGTGGTTGTGTGTGTTTGTGTGTGTGGTTTTGTTTGTGTGTGCGTATGTGTGTGTGCGTGTGCGCACGTGTGTGTGTGTGTGTGTGTGTGTTGTGCTGTGTTGTGTCGTGTTGCCTTGTCTTGTGGTGTGTTGTGTTGTGTTGTGCTATGTTGTGCTGTGTTGTATTGTGTGTTTGTGTGTGTGGGTCGTGTGTTGTATGTTGTGTGTTGTGTGTTGTGTGTGCGTGTGTGTGTTGTGTCTGTTGTGTGTTGTGTGTTGTGTGTGTGTGCTGTGTGTGTGTGTTGTGTGTGGTTGTGTGTATGTGTGTTGCGTGTGTGTGTGTGTGTGTGTGCAGAAACGTGCGGGGAGCCGCATTTTGACCCTGCCACTTGGGCCTTCGTTGGCGCTCCCCAGGGGGCCACGAAACGTGTGAGGGTTGTGCCGACATGGGCGGGGAGCCGCATGTGGACCCTCCCGCTGAGGCCTGCGGTGGAGCTCCCTATAGGTCGACCGTCGGCCCAAGCTGCGAGGGTTGTGCCGACATGGGTGGGAAGCCGCATGTGGACCGTCCCACTGGGGCCTTCGTTGGAGCTCCCTGTTGGGGCCACCAAACGTGTGAGGGGTGTGCCGAAGGGAGCGGGGAGCCGCGGAGCCTGCCACTGGGGCCTTCGGTGGAGCTCCTTGTTGGGGCCACGAAACGTGTGGGGGTTGTGCTGACATGGGCGCGAAGCCACATGTGGACATTGCCACTGGGGCCTTCGGTGGAGCTCCCTATTGGGGCCACGAAGCGTGCGAAGGGTCTGCCGAAACGGGCGGGGAGCCGCATGTGATCCCTCCCGCTGAGACCTCTGGTGGCGCTCCCTTTGTAGCCACGAAACATGTGAGGGGCGCTCCGACACAAGACATGTGGAGGGCAGATGCAGGGATGGGAGGAGGGAGCTAGTTGAGAAGGAGGAGGAGGAGGAGGAGGAGGTGGAGGAGGTGGAGGAGGAGGAGACGAGGAGTAAGGAACGCGGGACGCCGCTGATTCAAAACAAGGACCCAACACCACAGGATGGTTGCGAAAGGTTGTCCCCTCTCCTTGCCTCCGGCTCAAGCCCGCAGGGACATCCGGCTGCCGATCGCACGGGCTCCTCCCGACGCAGCCCCGCAGAGCGCGAGCCATGGGCAAGCGGGCTTCGGCGGCTGCTGGATCACCGGCGAAGCGGGCCAAGGCGGAGGTGAGTTCAAGGATCCGGGGGCGTTCAAGAGGGGTGAGAAGCGGGCCGTGTGGATATTTCTAGGCCTCCTAGATGGGGTCAGAGTAGATGGTGTCGGAGGGTCGTGCCGCATCGCCGATGCATCGCCGATGCGGCTCGATGTGGAGCCCGAGTTTCTCCCCGCTGGCCTCGCCGATACATCGCCGACGTCGCCAGTGCATCGCCGATGCATCGCCGATACATCGGCGATGCATTGGCGATGCGGCGCGATCCTTCGAGCCCATCAACTCGGACCCCATCTAGGAGGCCTCTACGGTCAGGAGCGTTCACTTAGCATGTCGCACCGCCAGTTCTGGCCCACTACGCTTCGGCGCGACGCGCGAACCACGCCCCAGTGCCTAGGCGTCGGCGTTGCGAGCATCTCCCAGCCTCCCGCCCCGCGGAACATAGCCAAACGCCAGCAGCTCGCAGGGCACAGCGTGTCGGCAGGACCGCCGTCGCGATACTCGGCGGCGGGAGAGGGGGGGGGACGTGAGAAGGAGAAGGCCTTCTCAGAAGGCAGCGGGACTTCTCGGAAGCCTCTCGCGCCTTCTGAGAGGTTCTCCGCATCTTCGGGGAAGGCCCAGAAAGCTTCTCGGAAGCCCGGGGGGACATCCGAGCCTTCTGAGAAGGCCCGCCCCCTCCCACTTCCCCCCCGCGCTAGTCGCCAAGATGCGCCAAGCCACCTGTCCAGACCGCACCACGACTGCGGCCAGGAGACCTCCCAGATCTCGTACGTCAGCCCCTCCCTTCCCTGCTCCAGAACCTTCCTTCCCCTCCCTGGCCCCCACGCGTCCGCGCCACGTGAACCGGGTCGTCCTGCGCACCAGCTGCCCGTCCTCCCGGGCCCCTCCGCCCGTCCCAGACCCCCGCGCGATCTTGTTCACAACGTCGACCCCCAGAGGCCTGGACCCCTTCTCGGGAGCCGGTTTTCATCCCGAGTCGCTTCTCTGAGACCCCCGACGTCATGATTTGTTCATGACGTCCACCCCCAGAGGCTTTGGCCCATTCCCCGGGACCGCTGTTTCATCCTGAGTCGTTTTTTGGACGGTCCTGAGTCCGTGTAAGGGCCTCCAGAAACCGAAATCTGTGAAAAACCTCCCGTCATGATTTTTTCATTGCTCGAGGGGGTTTGACGGTCCCGAGGCCCAGGAAGGGCCCGTGGAGGCCGAAAATAGCGAAACACCTCCCGTTGCGATTTCTTCACAACGCGAAGAGGTCTGGGTTTGTCGGCGCACCCGGAGGATCGGCCCCCCACCCTTTGTCGGCGCACCCCAGGAGGGGAACACAACACACAAACACAATTCAAGCGTCCACTCCCAGGAAAATATAAGGAAATATGGGAAGTGGCGGGGAAGACGAAAACCTGGAAAAAAATTGAAGATGTGGGGAGTCCTGGGATTTGTGTGCAGTCATTGGTGTGTCCCTGGGCACCTTTGGCACCTGGAGGATCAGGCACGTAGAGGAGGTTCTCCTGGATGCCGACCTGCCGAGCGAGGTGCCCTCGCCTGTCGCGCGCCCTCCTCCTTGTCGTCCTCGTCCTCGTCCTCGTTGTCATCCCAGTAGTCGTCGTCCTCGTCGTCGTCCTCGTCGTCCTCGTTCTCGTTCTCGTCCTCGTCGTCGTCGTCGTCGTCGTCGTCGTCGTCGTCGTCGTTATCATCGTCGTCCTCGTCGTCGTCCCTGTCGTCGTCGTCCTCGTCGTCGTCGTTGTCGTCGTCATAGTCGTCCTCGTCGTCGTCGTCCTTGTTGTCGTCCTCGTTGTCGTCCTCGTCGTCGTCGTCGTCCTCGTCGTTGTCGTTGTCGTCGTTCTCGTCGTCGTCGTCGTCGTCGTCCTTGTCCTCGTCCTCGTCGTCGTCGTCTTCCTCATCGTCGTCCTCGTCGTCGTTGTCCTCGTCCTCGTCCTCGTCTTCGTTCTCGTCCTCGTCGTCGTCGTCCTCGTCATCGTTGTCGTCCTCGTCGTCGTCGTCCTCGTCGTCCTCGTCCTCGTCCTCGTCCTCTCCATGGTCGTCGTCATCGTCGTCGTCGTCCTCGTCGTCCTCGTCCTCGTCGTCGTCGTCGTCCTGGCTGCCGACCTGCCGAGCGAGGTGCCCATGGCGTCGCGCGAGATGCTCGCGCGGGGCGCGGGCAGTGCGCTCTGCTCCGCGGTGGAGGAGCGCCACGGGATGCAGGAGCGGCCGGGGACGCGCAAGAGTGGCCTTCCTCCTGCTCCTCCTCCTCCTCCTCCACCTCCTCCTCCTCCACCTCCTCCTCCACCTCCTCTTCCTCCTCCTCCTCCTCCTCCTCCTCCTCCTCCTCCTCCTCATCCTCCTCCTCCTCCTCCTCCTCCTCCTCCTCCTCGCACCCTGGACATCCGGCTGCTCCACCTTTTTCTATGCGTTGGCCCTGGAGGTCTGGACCACCTCCCCAGGGCGGGTTTGTCGCCCCGAGTCGTTTGTCCCAGACCTCCTCGCTCTGTGACAAAATTGCGACGCCAGGTTTTTCGCCATTTTCGGCCTCCGGGGGCCCTTCCCAGGCCTCGGGACAGTCACAAAACGACTCAGGATGAAAAGCCGGTCCCTGGGAAGGGGTCCTGACCTTTGGGGGCCGACGTTGTCAAAAAAACACGATGTCGGGGGTCTGGGGCCGGAGTGGCCTTTGGCGCGCGGCTTTCGGGGGGCGCGGAAGGGTTGAGCAGGGACCGACCTTTCCGGCATTCCTATAGGCCTACCACGACATGTTCTTAGAGCTCAAGAAATGTTACAATAATGAGAACAATGTTTATAGAACAGAAGCCCGATGTGTTAAACCAAGACGATCTCAGCCAGAAATGTTCTAAGAACATCCCTTGAAAATCACAAAAGGTTCCTAGAGCATTCTTTGAAGGGCCCAAATACCAGCCAGGACGCCTCGCCACTGCTTGGGAGGGCCAGACCCAGGCACGCAGGCTGCTGCTGTCGCATCGCATGCCGTGCGCCAGAGGCCCTTCTCAGCCTAGGGGCCGCTCTTCCGTGCATAACCGAGGAGAGGGTGATGGGCTACATCCGGGCAGTGCTCTCGGGCATTGGCTCGAGGCTGGCCGACACGAAGGCCGCGGCGGAGTCGGCTGCTGCCGAGGCGTCGGTCGCGCTGGAGGCGTCGCGGGGGGAGCTGTCCAAGGCCGTGGATACGCTCACCGAGGCTCAGAAGGCCCTGGACACCCAGGATCGAAAAAGAACAGCCACTGGGGCCTTAGTGTGAGTCCCCTGTGAGGCCACGAAATGTGTGAGAGCCGCATGTGGACCCTGCCACAGAGGCCTTAAGAGAAGCTCCCTGTGGGGCCACGACATATGCGAGGAGCGTTCCGAAATGCGCGGGGAGCCGCATCTGGACCCAGCCACTGGAGCCTTCGGTGGAGCAAGGGCCACGAAACATGTGAAGGGTGTGCCGAAATGGGCATGCAGTGGGCTATGAGCCGCATGTGAACCCTGACACTGGGGCCTTCGGTGGAGCCTGTGGGGCCACGAAACGTGTGAGAGGTCAGCCGAAATGGACATGTGGACCCTGCCACTGGGGCCTCTGGTGGAGCTCCCGAGGAGGCCACGCAACGCGTAAGGGGCGTGCCGAACTGGGCCCGCATGTGGACCCTGCCACAGGGGCCTTCGCAAGGGCTCCCTCGAGGGCGCGAAGTTATTCGCGCTTCGCGCTTCGCGGTCCTCGTTCCTTCTCCTCCTCCTCCTCGTCCTCCTCTTCTCCCCCTTGGGGGGCGGCGCGAGAGCGCGAAGTTATTCGCGCTTCGCGCTTCGCGCAGCGCGAAGCGCGAACTTAGGAGCCCTTGCTTCGGTGGAATTGGCTTTAGGGTCACGGAGCGTGTGAGGGGTGTGCCGGAATCGACATGCGGTGGGCGGGGAGCTGCACGTGGACCCTGCCACGAGGGCCGTCGGAGGAGCTCCTCTTGCGGCCACGAAGCGTGTGAGAGGTCTTCCAACATAAGCATGCGGTGGGCGGGGAACCGCATGTGGACCCTGCCGCCGGGGCCGTCGGTGGAGCTCTCGACGGGGCCACGAAACGTGTGAGTGCTGTGCCGACACGGACATGCGGTGTGCGGGGAGCCGCATGTGTAGCCTGCTGCTGGGACCTTCACTGGAGCTCCATCTCAGGCTACGAAAACGAGCATTGTGTTGGCGGGGAGGTGCATGTGGACCTTGCCACCGGGCCCTTCGGGGGAGCTTCTCATGGGGCCACGAAGCGTTTGAGTGGTCTTCCAACATAAACATGCGGTGGGCTGGGAGCCGCATGGGGATTCTGCCACTGGGGCCTTCGGTGGAGCCCCCCTCATGGGGCCGCGTACCTGTGAGGGGATGTGCCGACACGGATATGCGGTGGGCGGGTAGCCGCAGATGGACCTTGCCATTGGGGCCTCTGGTGTAGTTCCTTCTGGGGCCATGAAGCGTGTAAAGGGTGCAGCGAAACAGAAACATGCGAAGGCAGAGGCAAGGGATGCGAGGAGGCAGGGGAGGAGGAAGGAGGTAGGAGGGAGTGACGCACGGGGGCTGTCGCTTCCAGTCGAGGGCCCAACACCACAGGATGGTTGGGACAGATGTGAAGAGATGCCAGCTCTCGGAGATCCGCCCGCGCACCTTGGATCTGCGCTGGGCCTCCGCGTGCGCTCGCCGCGCGCCAGGGAGGGGGGCCCAGCGCCGGTCCAAGACCCCCTCGCGGAATTCCACTCGTTTCTGTTGTGATCGCGCTGTGCTTTGTTCTGCTCCTGCAGGAGGAGAAGCTGTCCGAGGCCAAGCAGGCCTTGTCGGCGGCCGAGGCGGAGCTCAAGAGGGCCAACCAGGGCGTGAAGGCCAGTCAGAAGGTCACCGACGGCATCGAGAGGGAGAAGGCGAAGTTCGTGGACTTTCTGGAGAAGCCCGAGTGGAAGGCCCTCATGGCGGGAGAGTGCGAGTCGGACAAGGAGCGCCACAAGCTCGTCCAGAAGGTGGTGTCCCAGTTCCAGCGTCTTGGGGCGGAGGACGCTCTGCTCGCCAGCGCGCCAGCCGCGCTGTCGAAGAAGCCAGAGGAGCGGCAGGGGTTCGACACCATGGTCCTCGACTCCCTCGTTGCGGTGCTGAAGCAGGGGGAGAAAGCGTGCGACAGCAGGCTGCAGGACGTCGCGCAGGAGAGGACGGGCCTCGACGCGGAGGCCGCTGCCAAGGCGACCTGCCACGCGGACTCCCTGGCCGCCTGGGAGGCAGAGGGCGACGAGGCATCGAAGCGGAAGGCCGTGGTGAAGGAGAAGGAGAGCAGCAGGGCCGAGTGCGAGGCCAAAGTCGAGCAGCTCACCGCGGTGGCCCAAGAGCGAGGCGGGGAGCGCGACGCAGCCGCGGAGGCCGTCGCGGGCTTCGCCGAGGCCGTCCAGTCGCTGGACTACCTGGCCGCCCGCTCGCTGGCGCCGCCGCCGGAGCCGGAGCCCGAGGCCGCCGACCCAGCCCCCGCCGAAGAGGCCCCGCTGCCGGCCGAGGGAGCCGCAGCCGCCTGAGCCATGGGGCCCCTTGGCGCGCGCCGCGCGGCAGGGTGTCCCCAGCGGGGGGGCCACGCGCGCGCGCGCGGCGGGGCAGCCTCAAGGGACGGCGTCGCTGTCATCGGAGGAGGGCCAGTGCAGGCGCCGGCGGCCCTCCCTGGCGTCGGTTCGTGCTTCTGGGGGGGCCTCTTGGAGGCTTCTCGTCGCCACGGCGGGGTCCGCCTCGGAGAACGGGTCAGGATGGACCCCAGGAGGGATTTGGGTGCCGATTGTGAAATGATTTCTGCCGCCGTCGTGTCAATGGGCCATACTTCGATGTCAGGGCTGATCAGAGCGCCCCCTAGCAGACCGACCCCTTCTATTCAACATCGTTGCCCCGTCGTTCCTTCTTCCCGGCCGATCCCTCGGGGACGGCTGTCCCCGCGCCGAATTCGGTCCTGCATTTAAGCCGCGGCTGGCCGATGGGGGCATCGGCTTGACGTCGCGTGTGCGTGTGTGCGTCTGCCGCTGAGGGTGTGTCGGGAGGCGCGTTCCTGCCAACGGTGCTCGCGCGCAGGTGACGCCGTTGCCTTTGACGTGCGCGCTCTCGTGGGGTGCGAGGCTTCTTGTGCCGGGCGTGTGAAAGATATGCCTGGCAGGGCGCTTGCTCTGGAAGTGGAAAAACCAACACATGCTAGACGTATTGCGCAACCCCACCAGCCCATCCATAAACGATGCCCAAACGAGTTGCCCTTTTCAGGCGTGGGAGCACGCAGCGGAGTAAAGGCTGGGGAGCCGTCATATCCGAAGAGGGGGAGGATGGAGGAGGAACCAAAGGAGGAGGGGGAGCAGGAGGGGGAGGAGGGGGGAGGAAGGAGGTGGAGGATAAGGCAGATGAGAAAGAGCAAGAGGAGGACGAGGAGGAGGACGAGGAGGAGGAAGCGGGCGAGCAGAAAAGCCAGATGCCTCTTGGATGCCTCTCGTAGTTTCTTCGGATGCCTCGTGAGATTTTCTCGGAAGCCTATTGGAGACTATTGGGGGCCTCGTGGCGGTCCTGGGGGCCTCTTGAAGCGTCTTGGGTGCATCGGGGTCTCTTGGGAGTTTTGGGGGGGCCTCTTGGAAGCAGCTTGAGGGCATCTTGGGGTGCCCTTGGGACCTCCTGGGCGTCTATTGTGGCCATCTTGGGGCACTCTTGGGAGCCTCGGGGTCCATCTTGGGGCCATCTTGGAGGAGATCGATCAAAGGAGAGGCCGTAGTAAGAGGCTAAAACCTAGCGCAATTAGTGATGTTGACCATCTCGCCGAGGCCTCTTGGGTGCCTCTGGGGAGCCTCTTAGGAGTCTCTTGGGAGCCTCTTGAGGGCATCGTTGGGGCCTCTTGGGGACCTGTTGGGGCCTCCTGGACACATCTTGGGGCCGTCGTGGGGTGAACTTGGGCGGCCCGGTGGCCATCTTGGAGGAGGTCGATCAAAGGATGGGGGCTCTTTAATCAGCCCCCTCCCCAGGAGGCCGAGATGTGGCCAAAGCCTTAGTACAATCAATGGTGTGGGCCTTCTCGCCGAAGTCTCTTCGGGCGTCTTGGGGGCCTCTGGGGAGCCTTTCGGGAGTCTCTTAGGGGGCCTCTTGGGGGCTTCCTGGGGGCCTCCTGATTGTGGAAGGCGGGGGGAAAGGAGGGGACGGGCCACGACAGCGCAGGAGGGCGTCGAGCCGACGCTCGCCGGAGAGCGAGATGAGGGGAGGGTGGACGCGACGGCCCTCCCTCCTCCCTCCTCCCCCCTCCCTCCTCCCTCCTCCCCCCTCCCTCCTCCCTCCTCCCTCCTCCCCCCTCCCTCGTCCTCCTCCTCCTCCTCCGCCTCCTCCTCTTCCTCCTCCTCCCCTATGAGGCACTGGCGCTCCTCCCCCTCCCCTGCCCACCCGATGGGCATTTCTCGAAGGGCCACTCGACGCCGTGGCTGGGGAAGCTCGGGTGTGCAGGCTGGGAAGAGCTTGTTGGAGCACTCCTCCCAGACCTCCTTGCGTTGTTACAAAAAAACACGACGGTGGGGGGGTCACCCGCGGGAGGAGGGAGCGGGAGCGGCAGGGAGGGGAGGGGGGAGGGATCAGGGAGGCCAGGGAGGAGGTGTAGAAGACTGGAGGGAGGGTGCGCGCAGGAGAGGAAGGGCGGGCAACGGCAGGCAAGCACTTCAAGTGAGTTGACCATGGGTGCCAGTACAGAGAAATCGAAGCAGCAGAGTCCATGAATACGCTGTAGCTTGTCAGCGACGCGCTCGAAACAAACGCGGCCGATATCGATATAGGGAAGAAGGGCAAGGCGAAGGGAGAAGGGGCAGGAGGAGGGGAGGCGAGAGGAGAGCGGGGGACGCGCAAGATAAGGAAGACGGGGAGGAGGAGGAGGAGAGACAGGAGTAGGAGGGAAGAGGGAGAAGGAGAGGGAGGAGGAGGACGGGGAGGATAAGGGAGAGGAGGAGGCAGCTGGGGGAGGGAGAGGGAGGGGGGAGAGAAGGAAGAGGAGAGGGACGGAGGGTAGGGGAAGGGAATGGAGGGAGGAGAGGAGGAGGAGGAGGAGGAGGAGGAGGAGGAGGAGGAGAAGGAGGAGGAAAGGAGGAGGCGAAGAGGGAGGGGGAGGAGGAGGAGGAGGAGGAGGAGGAGGAGGAGGAGGAGGAGGAGGAGGGGGAGGAGGAGCCCGAGCCACCCCTCCACGGCGCCTGTGCGCAGGCCCCTGCGGGCCCTGCGACGAGATGGCGCGACGCTCGGGCCCGGGCCTCCTCCCGCTACTCCTTGTCGTTGTCTCCTGCGTGCGGTTCCTCAATGTCCTTCTCTTGCTTCTCCTCCTGGGCCTCCTCCTCCTCCTCCTCCTCCTCCTCCTCCTCCTCCTCCTCCTCCTCCCCCTCCCTCTTCGCTCCTCCCTCTCCTCCTCCTCCTCCTCCTCCTCCTCCTCCTCCTCCTCCCCCTCCCTCTTCGCCTCCTCCTCCTCCTCCTCCTCCTCCTCCTCCTCCTCCTGCTTATCAAGTTCCTTCTCCTCGTCCTCCACCTGCTCGACCTCTCGATGTTTCTTCCCTTCCTCCCCCAGTCCTCCCGTGAAGGAGGTCGAGGAAGGGGAGGAAGGAGGGGAGACGGAGGGAAGAAGGGGAGGAGGACAAGGAGGAGGGGGGTGGAACAGATGGAGGACGACGATAACGACGAGAGGGATGACGAGGGGCAGGAGGATGACGAGGAGGAGGACGAGGACGAGGACGATAGTGAGGAGGACAGGAGGCATAAGGACGTCGGAGGAGGCGGAGAATCCGAGGAAGAGGCCAGTGGGGAGGAACCTGCTCCCCGGATCAAGAAGCCGATATGCGATGGTTTTCTGCCGCCGTCGAGCAGGTCTTATTCGTGGATGCGATCACGAATTCAGGCCAGTCACATTTGGGGGCCGTGTTCCCGGCAAGCCTTGGGGCCCAAGCGGCCTCGGCACTCGAATTCGAGAGATCGTCGAGACGGCGGGTTTTCCCATGGAGGTGAGAAACACAGCTCCCCAAAATTGTGACTGGCCGATCTATATCGACATGTGTATATATATGAAGATATGTATCACTTTCACGCGCGGGGTGTGGTTGGCTCATCGTGTTCTGCTCGCACTGCTGTTCCCTTGCACGGCTGTTCAAGAATATCGAGTCGCGTCTGCCGTTGCCGCGCAAGCGTCTTCCGCTGGGGAAAAAACAACGGGGACGGGGGGGAGTTCTTGCTCCACCTTCTCCGCCGCGAGGCCATTTCGGTTCAAGCCTGTACCGAAGAAGCCACCCGCGAGCCTGGCGCGTGCTGCCCCCTTATCAAGGGAAAGGAGCCCCTGACCAAGCCAAGCCTGATCGGGCTATCCGGGCTTTTCTTGTGTCAAGGGGTGGAACCCCCCCGGACCCGATAGCGGCCCTGGGCTTTTACTAAACAGCCCTGCCCTGTTCGATTCCTTCGTCGGGCGCGTTTGCTACACGGCTCCGCGTGTCGGGGTGACTACACTATGAGGGTGGAGGCTCTGCTCTCTCCTGTGGCCTCCGCCCTCGAGGGAACTGCCGAGATGGAGGTCGCCCCTCGTCGGCGTCGGCACCGCCGTCGGTGCCGGCGCCGCCGGCGGCCCGACGGGGGGGCCCTCGTCTGCGCCCGCGGGGGCGGGCGGCCGAGGTGGAGAGGAGCTGCCGCTGCGGGCAGGCCCGCCGCGCCATCGGGTGCGCCGAGCAAGGCCCCATCGGGGGCCGCTCGTCGCTGCCCGTCGTGCGTCGCCGCCGTCCGTCGTGCGTCGTCGCACGTCACCGTCGTACGTCGTCGTCCTCCCCTCCTCCTCCTCCTCCTCTCCTCCTCCTCCTCCTCCTCCTCCTCTCCTCCTCCTCCTCCTCCTCCTCCTCCTCCTCCTCCACTCCCCCTCCCCCTCCCCCTCCTCCCCCTCCTCCTCCCGCTCCTTCTTTCTCCTCCTCCTCCTTCGGCCTGCTGCGACCTGCGGGCATCGTCGAGCGACCGCCTCCAGAGAGTCGAAGAAGAAACTCTGGGCCTCCCAGGTGGGGTCGGAGCAGGTGGGGTCAGAGGATCGCGCCGATGCATCGGTGATACATCCAGGACGCAATGGCGATGCGGCGAGATGCTTCTACCCCATCTGAAAGGACCCTATCTAGGAGGCCCCTCTCGTCGCTGCCCGTCGTGCGTCGCCGCCGTCCGTCGTGCGTCGTCGCACGTCGCCGTCGTACGTCGTCGCAGGTCGCGAAGAAGAGAAAACGACACAAACACGAACTTTCGGAGCTCCGCGCGGACTTCTTGGATCTGCGCTGGCCGCTGGCGCGCTCCTTGGCGCGCTCCGCGCGCCAGAGGGGTGTGGGGTCCTGCGCCGATCTGATACATCTGCGCGGACCTCCGTGAGCGGATGCTTTTGATTGATGAGTTGTGTTTCTCCCTCTTGTCGCCGTCGTCCGACGTCGTCCGTCCTCCTTGTCGTGCGTCGTGCGATGCAGTCGCCGTATGTCGCCGTGCGTCGCCCCCGCCGTCGTCGCCCTCGTCGTCGAGCGCCCTCCCCCCC